GGGGCAAAAATCTGTTGGATGATTTAATTGGGGATTGGTCCTGCTTTGAGCAGGGGGTTGGACTAGATGATCTCCTGAGGTCCCTTCCAACCCTGATAGTCTATGATTCTATACCACAACTGACAGGTATTTGTCTAACCTGTTCTTAAAAACCTCCAGTGTCGGAGATTCCACAACCTTTTTAGCTAATTTGTTCTTCATGCATATACCTCAGTTTACCTGCCTGATAGCTGTCTGACTACACAGAGTTAAATGAAAGGAGGCTGTTAGGGGAAAAAAAACTAACAAGAAACTAAATATTGGCAGAGATAGGATGTCTCCATGGAAAGTACCAAGGGGCGTTATGGGAACAATGGGGGAGCTATTACTTGGGAGATGCCCACCTGTCTGGCTACATCCACACAAACATGTTTACTTTTTGCCAGGCCGCAGCCCAAATTCAAAAGAACTAACTTACTTATTTATGCATCTTTATTTCATACAGAACACAGGGCCTTTCACCACTGCCTTCCATTTTTGGTAATCTCTTGCTGTAATCTTAGCTCTCAGTTCTGTTTCTGTTGTGTGTTTCCAAATTACCCTTGGTCTACCCTATTGCCTCTTGCCCTGGGGATTCCAGTCCAAAGCTTTTCTTGTTATGATGTTTGGTTCTGTATTCCATGTGTGTCCTAACCATCTCCATTTTTGTTCCATAATTTCCTGTCCTATCAGTTTCTGTTTTGTCCTCCTGCAAAGGTCTTCATTTGTGATTTTTTTCTGGCCATCTGACGTGACGATTTGCCTATGGCAACTATTTATAAAAAACTTGGAGTTCAGATAGTACAATCTTGACAAGTCTCCACGCTTCAGAACCATGTAGTAAGACAGACTTTACAATGGTGTTAAATATTCAAAGTTTAGTTCTGAGGGCAAGGCTTCTGTTTCTCCAGACTGGCTTTAACATAAGAACATAAGAATAGCCATACTGGGTCAGACCAAAGGTCCATCCAGCCCAGTATCCTGTCTGCCGACAGTGTCCAATGCCAGGTGCCCCAGAGGGAGTGAACCTAACAGGTAATGATCTCTCTCCTGCCATCCATCTCCACCCTCTGACAAACAGAGACTAGGGGCACCATTCCTTACACATCCTGGCTAATAGCCATTAATGGACTTAACTTCCATGAATTTATCTAGTTGTCTTTTAAACCCTGTTATAGTCCGAACTTTCACAACCTCCTCAGGCAAGGAGTTCCACAGGTTGACTGTGCACTGTGTGAAGAAGGACTTCCTTTTATTTGTTTTAAACCTGCTGCCCATTAATTTCATTTGCTGGCCCCTAGTTCTTATATTATGGCAACAAGTAAATAACTTTTCCTTATTCACTTTCTCCACCAGTCATGATTTTATATACCTCATTCATATCCCCCCTTAGTCTCCTCTTTTCCAAGCTGAAAAGTCCTAGCCTCTTTAATCTCTCCTCATATGGGACCCGTTCCAAATCCCTGATCATTTTAGTTGCCCTTCTCTGAACCTTTTCTAATGCCTGTATATCTTTTTTGAGATGAGGAGACCACATCTGTATGCAGTAGTCAAGATGAGGGCGTATCATGGATTTATATAAGGGCAATAAGATATTCTCAGTTTTATTCTCTATCCCTTTTTTAATGATTCTTAACATCCTGTTTGCTTTTTTGACTGCCGCTGCACACTGCATGGATGTCTTCAGAGAATTATCCATGATGACTCCAAGATCTCTTTCCTGATTAGTTGTAGCTAAATTAGCCCCCATCATATTATATGTATAGTTGGGGTTATTTTTTCCAATGTGCATTACTTTACATTTATCCACATTAAATTTCATTTGCCATTTTGTTGTCCAATCACTTAGTTTTGTCAGATCTTTTTGAAGTTCTTCACAGTCTACTTTGGTCTTAACTATCTTGAGCAATTTAATATCATCTACAAACTTTGCCACCTCACTGTTTACCCCTTTCTCCAGATCATTTATGAATAAGGTGAATAGGATTGGTCTTAGGACTGACACTTGGGGAACACCACTAGTTACCCCTCTCCATTCTGAAAATATACCATTTATTCCTACCCTTTGTTCCCTGTCTTTTAACCAGTTCTCAATCCATTAAAGGATCTTCCCTCTTATCCCATGACAACTTAATTTACGTAAGAGCCTTTGGTGTGGGACCTTTGTCAAAGGCTTTCTGGAACTCTAAGTACACTATGTCCACCAAATCCCCCTTGTCTACATGTTTGTTGACCTCTTCAAAGAACTCTGATAAATTAGTAAGACATGATTTCCCTTTACAGAAACCATGTTGACTTTTGCCCAACAATTTATGTTCTTCTATGTGTTTGACAATTTTATTCTTTACTATTGTTTCAACTAATTTGCCCGGTACTGACGTTAGACTTACCAATCTGTAATTGCCGGGATCACCTCTAGAGCCCTTTTTAAATATTTGCGTTACATTAGCTATCTTCCAGTCATTGGGTACAGAAGATGATTTAAAGGACAGGTTACAAACCATAGTTAATAGTTCTGCAATTTCACATTTGAGTTCTTTCAGAACTCTTGGGTGAATGCCATCTGATCCCGGTGACTTGTTACTGTTAAGTTTATCAATTAATTCCAAAACCTCCTCTAATGACACTTCAACCTGTGACAATTCCTCAGATTTGTCACCTACAAAGGACGGCTCGGGTTTGGAAATCTCCATAACAGCCTCAGCCTTAGGGTTGCAAAGACACATCTAGCTTTTGCTATTCTGGCTTTAATGTCTTTGTTTGTTCCACCTGTTTTGCTTATGATATTGCTAAGATATGTGAAGTGTTGACCTCTTCTATGTCAATCCTAGAAAATGTTATGGGGATGTTGGGTTGTGAGTGGATTTTCATGGTTTTAGTTTTCTCCATGTTAATTCTCAGCCCTACTAATTGTACAGATATCTGGAGATTACTTGTTTTAGCTTGCATATCTCTATGGGTATGGGACAGCAGGTTGATGTTGTCTGCAAAGTCGAGGTCTTCTAACTTCTGCATAAGAGTCCATTATATATTCCTTTGTTCTTCTGTGGTCTCTCTCATTACCCAATCCATTATCAGTAGGAAGGTCATGGTTGATACCAGTCATCCTTGTCTGACACCAGCAGACACCTCAAATGACTTAGTTGGTTTGCCGTTATGTGTTGCTTGGCATCTCATATTTCCATAGAAGCACTAAACAATATTTACCAATTTCTAGGGGATTCCATAGTGGCATATCAACTTCCATAAGACTGTACTGTCCACTGTGTCAGAGGCGTTTTGGAAATCTGTGAAATTCATATAAAGTGGTCACTGCCATTCAATCTATGATGATCCATAGGGTTACTATTTTATCTATGCATTATTTCTCTTGTCTGAACCCTGGCTGTTCTTGCCATAGCCTTGAATCTACTGCTTTCTTTAGTCTGTCTAGGATAATACTGTCAGTATTTGATTTGGGATAGAAAGCAATTGAATGCCCCTTCTCTATTTGCACTGACTGAGATCTCATATTGTGACAGTTACAATATATGACCACTTGTTTGGTATTTTTTTCTTTCCCCCCACAGCTTTTGTAAGAAGCCTTTCAAAATGTCTACTTGTGTTCAAGTCTGCCTTAAGGATATCCACTGGAATGTTGTCCGGACTTGGTGCCTTTCCACTTTTTAACTTATTTTTACTGGCCTCTCTACTTCTACTCTAGTGATAGGTCTTAGTTTGAGGTCCAGATCGTCTCCCTCCCCTGTGTCTGGCCACTGGCTTTCCAATCAGTAGTTGACTAAAGTACTCCCTCCATATATTTAATTGTTCTGATGACTTCACTGTTAAATTACCCTCATTATCTTAGACTGGTCAGCTCTGCTTGTTCTTCTTCCTGACAACTATCTAATGATGTTATACAGTGTCTTCATGTCATTTTGTGCTGTGATGATCTGTGCAGCTGTTGCCATTTTGTCTATAAAATCTCATGTGTTTTTCCTGGCCCTCTTTTTAAAACCCCCTGCCTCGAGAGTAAGGTGGACAGAGGGATAAATGGGCAGCAGTCGCTTGGGGGAGATGCTGCGGGAGAGACAGAGAGGCAGAGAAGTCTGGAAGAGTGTCTGAGCTGAATGGAATTTACCAAAACTTGCAAAGAAAGGATAAAGTTCAGGTAGGACCTGGGCATGAAGGTATTGGTTGTTTTAATTTGCTCCTCTGAATGCTATGTACCTTTAGATGAATAAATGATACTTTGTTTTGATGAAGGTGTTTTGAGTATATTTAATCAGTTGTTGGTCATAGGCTCCTACAGAGAAACGTCTTGCAGGTGCTGAATACAGTTGAGCCTGTAATTTTTTCATGGGTGACATTCATAGTACAAATGATGTCCAAAATTCATTCTCTTCCTAAGAGAGGTCTTTTTTTTGCTTGAACACTGTCCAGTTCTCCACAGCAATCCATGTTCACGGATACTGGGTTTGTACCATTTACCAAGGCATCACAGAGTAAACTAGCATCTTCATTACAGAAGATTCAGTTTGGAGCTTGAATTTTATTGTTAGCAATACCCACCTGGATCCTAGAGCTCATCTAATCAAATCTGGTTCAGTACATAACACCAGAGACAACTGCTGCCAGAGATTTCAAGTCTGCCAGGTTGTCAACAAAGAAATATGCAGATTTGGCTGAGGTTAGTGCCTTAGTATGTCTGTGTTTTGAGAGCTGACAATAAGAGACTTCTCTGAAAAGCAAAGGGCTTGAATTCTGGACCTTTGGAAAGCATTCAAGTTCTTTAACCTTCAAAATTACACCTAATTTCAGGACATCTGGAATTTCCAGTGTTAGGAAAATCAGGAATTGGAGCAACAGGGAAGGTGATGCATTGTACAATGAGTGTGCTCAGGACTGGGTATCTGTGAGCAGGTAGAGAATAGCAGAAGGCACCAACAGCAGGTGATCAAGTGGGACAGAACCACAGGATTTGCCTTTCTTAAATGGTGGGGACTTACAAGGGGAAAAACACAGTACTTTGGAGGTGAAGATCTGGCAGCTCAGAGAGGGATCTGGATGGTGGGCTGGTGAGCTACTAAAGGGATCAGCATCGCAGTAAAGGGACAGCATCTGTGACAAAACTCAGGGTGGGTCACTTGTCATGGTTTATTCATGGGGTATTCATCAGTAAGTTAACATTTGTAAGCACATGGGGGACACATGGAGAGGATATCAGGAGGTTTAAACAGAGGGGAAAGGCAGAGGATGTCAAACTGGGCATTATGGTGGGATTGCATCACACAGTGAATATATTCATCTATGCCTCAGGGCCAAGAAGGCATGCACCAGATCTCAGGGCTCTAAGAGTTAAATGCAATGCATTCCTCCCGGAACGAGTGGAGGCAGCTCCCATATGAAATCTGAAGGTACAGCTTTTTCTTCTTAATAAAAAATTAAAGCCAGCATCCTGCTCCGCTTCACTTTAGAGGGAAGGCACCTTTTCGTTTTTCTTGCATTCTGTGCAACAGTTTTGCTGCTTCAGCAACATTCTCCAACTCATTGCTCTCATCCTGAAAGAACAATGCTGAAGACAATCCTTAGAAAGGCATTCAGCCCTCCACACTTGAAAATCCTTAGAAAGATCAGTTTCCACTAAACACCTGAGGATCAGATCTCCTTCGCCTCCCAACCAGCTGTAGGCTGCCCCTCTTTCTCTATATCCCTTGAAGGTTCCATCCTCTGTTTCTGGCAGGGGGAGTCCGAGTTGAATCTGTAAAGCCCAGCAGAACAGAGAAGACCTTGTTTTTTTAAGGTTTCGGCTGAAAACGCCCCAAACATTAAAGGGGATGTTTTCAAAGGCACAAAGGGGAATTGGGCACCTAACTGCCCTTTGTGCCTATGAAAATCTCTTCTTAAATGGCATGATACTTAACTTGTCTAACTCAGAAGGGATGAGGTGATTTGAACCTAGGCTTACAAGCGTATTTCAAACCTGGAGGTTAGGACTGCTAAGCCATCCCTTCATCTTCCAGGCTGGAAATAATTTGCACCCAGTTTTCTTTAAACAGTAAATATCCTTAAAATGGCTCAAACTACAACTTCAGAACTCTGACACTGGGACAACGTGGTCTGGAGCTGCAAAACAGGTCATTCTCATTGTAATAATACCCTCTGGGTGCTGCTGCCAGCATTCAGTGTTAAAAGGTAGCATTATTATAACAGAAGCCATTCTATCAAAGGCAGTGAGCACTTTTTGCATAGTGTTTAACTAGTGACATATTTGCAATATTTCTTGTAACACAGACTGTGGCGTTTGGCAAATGACAGTTTAGTTTTTATGAATTTCCATCATCTTTCAGATAATCAAGTGCCTGATTAATCAGAATGTCAGCTCTCAGAAGTCAGAATGTCTGTTTTGCAGCCCTCTTACAAAGACACACCATGAGTGCCTTTCAGTGCCAGCATGGGAACAAGTAATCTGTAAAGAAAGAAATCTTGAAAAGGTCAAATTACACTTGCTTAAAAATACTCTTTTCACCTTTAAAAATTTGAACTATAATTAGAGTGCTGAGGCCCTATTAGAATGGAAGACAAGAGAGAAGCAGCATCACATGGAGAGAGAATGCAGCATTTCTGTACAATAGGTTATTACACACAAACCCAGAGGAGAAGACTGACAGATGAGAAAGCTTTTGCATTCTCACTAACATCAGCACTGTTGCCAAATCTTGGATTATTGCGTCAGTAAAAAGTGAGCACTTACAGTTAACATACTGATTGATTTTTTTTCCTAAAGGAGAAAATTAGCATGACACCATTTTAAATATCCCTGCTGTTTCCCTTTAAATTTTCAGTAGGACACTTTGCTTTTGGAGCTGCCAGTTCTGTGACCTTGCTGGAAGTTACCAAGCCACACATCAATTAGTGATTGCAGAATAGAGAAGTAGTGTTGACTGCATTCTGCATGTCCCAAGGGAAGAGCAGCTGTGCTTCAGGGTACAAGCAACATAAGCCTGGAAGATTGTTATCCTGTGGGAGTGCTGATATGCAGGTTGGCTACTGACTGCAAGATGCAAAAATGCAGCAGAGCTGAAATAAAACGAGAAAAATCTTTTGCTTTCCCCCTTCCCCAACTGAAATTTTACAGTTGTTTACAAGCCGTTTCATTTTGCACAACATAAAACCCCAATTCCACATGAGTATTTCCTGCTATGAACACACCCCTGCCATTCCAACTATGACACCCCTAATCAGCTTTCCCCACAAAGAAAAATTCTCAATAGGAAATTATCCTTCGAAAATACTGCTTGTTCTATACAAATCACATTTCATTATTTATTATACTGAGTGGGGAAATTATTCAAGTTAAGGTTAAATGTGAGTTTCTGATCAGAGATGAAAAGGAACCGCTGCAGAATCTTAGAAGAAAGTTCCTGGATTTTTATTAGAAAAAGAAGGATGAAACGCCTCATCAGTCAGATGGGTGCTATCAAAACACCAGGCATTTCCAACACGCTCTAAGCAAACATTCTTGCCTGAAAGGGAAAATGAACTAAAAAGGAAGGCTGATCTTGAACACACACAAAAAACGCAAACAAAAACAAAACAAACAAAAACAGGTCTGATGTGGAGTATGGTTTGCTCCAACAGCACTGAAATCTTGAAGCTACAGAAACAGACTATTGCTCCTTCCCAATGATCATTTGGACTGTTTTAGCATCCATTAGCCAAATAGGGTGACCAGATGTCCCAATTTTATAGGGACAGTCCTGATTTTTTAGTCTTTTTCTTATATAGGCTCCTATTACCCCCTACCTCCTCTCCCAATTGTTCACATTTGCTGTCTGGTCACCCTATAGACAAAGAGGTTTTACAAGCGTTAATTAAGTAAGCCTCAAAAACCCTCCGTAAGATCGGTATTATTATCCCCCTTTCATAGACAGGATGAACTGAGAAACAGAAGAGTCAGGTAAGTTAACCAAGGTCACTCACCAAAAATAAATAATAGAGTTGAGACTGGAATCCTGTAATCTAGGGATCCAGTTGCCTGTTCCAATCACCACATATATCAATATGTGGCTTCCCTGAAACTTCCTCAGAAGATGTGATTTATTTTCCCCCATATTACACATAACTGCTACTGATGCATCGAAAACAGACCCTTCACATACACAGCTATTTTCATCTTCTCCTCTGTGTGGAAGACTCAGACTCTACTGTAGATTTCATTTAAGGAAGCAGGAATAACAAGATTCAGAGCACTCCATTTCTCAACTTTGTTAGGGCCCACTGTTACCTGGAGTTCTCTGTTTAGTACCTTTCACACACAAAAACATAGAATTACATAGTAAAAGTAAAGGGTGGAGGGACAAAACTTCCAAACAATCAAGCAGGGGAGGGAAGGCAGCCTCCAGCTTTATGGAAGCCTAGTGACACAGTTGACTCGCTCTTCTATATATGATTTTGGAGAGACAAGTCATCATTGTATTATTAGGGCTAACTGCTTCTCTCATAAACTCTGTGGTATGGATTATTTTGACCTGGAAGTGGTGGCTTGAATAATAAAGAACCTCGTAGAGGCCTCCAAGTTAAGTTAATCCGTCTCCCTGTTCAGCTTGGTCAAAACAGAACTTGATGCCTGCACTCCAAATCTCCAAAATAAGAGAACCAGAAGCCTCCACTAAGTGCTGTTCAGCTAGCCATAGGCTCCTATATTCTCATCCTTTTGTCCCTTCCATTGTTCTCTGGAAAAGGTCCATCAACAACTCACCTCTTGTCCCCCGAAAAGATTCAGATAATAGACCTTGGCTTCTCTGCAGGTCAGTGGAAGTACTTTAATACTTCACCTGAGTAAAGCTTCTCTAAGAAGCATTTCACTGAGTCCAGGCCCACACAGGAATTCTTTACACAGAAGTCCCGCATAACAAAACTGAAATGGTCTTCTCTTGGGATACATCTACACTGCAGCTGGAGGTGTAATTTCAAGCTTAAATAGATGTACAAACACTAGTTTTGATTGAGCTAGTTTACTAAAAATAGCAGCATACTTGCAGAAGCACAGGCTAGCCACCCATGTACAATCCTGTCCAAGACCCTAGGTAAGTACTTGTGTGGGGATGCCACCGCTGCTACGGCCGGGGCCATCCTGCTGTTTTTAGCACACTAACTTGTGTGCCTATGTGTAATTTTCAGCTCCGATGGACAATCAGCTGCTGTCTAGATGTACCCTTAGAAAAGTGATATGCATAGATGTTGAGTGAAGCCCTAGAAAAATTATAATGAATATTTGTCTTAGCACCTCTGTCCAGTATACAGCTCAAGGGTCAGCAAAACAGCACCACACATTATGACTTTTACTTTCACATCAAACCTTGATAGCCACAGCGCGTCCAGTTATCCCGGAAGAGTGGGAAGCACTTTTGCCCCACTTCTAAGACATTCACTACTTAAGCCCCAAATTCTACAAACACTTATGAACATATTTAACTTTAGTCACATGAATAATCCCACTGACATCAACAGAACTACCCATCTTGTTCAAGGTAATCTGGGGAGCAAGAGACTGGCACTAGGACTCAAACCTCTGTCCTTTGTACAGAACACTAACCCTCTAGGCCACCAAGATGAATGCAGGGGGATTAGCTGGGGAAGTTCCAGGTCTAAGATGCAGCTGCTGGATGAGATATAGTTGTATTTTCACTGCTGTGTGGATACCAGCTCTTTAGTATTTAAATCAGTACATAAATATTTCACATGGAACTTGGGTTAAAATAAGCCTTCTGCCTGGTTATTGCAATGTTACAGCATTCTGTCTGATTGCCTTAATTTGCAGGCAGCTATAATGCTATTTGTGTGACAGAGAATTCCGCAAGGCCTCCCAGCAGAAACCTGAGAAATCAATAGGTCTTAAATAAGTAATTAGAGGAGCTGAAAACATTTAGGTCATCAAATAGTAAGCAGGATAAATAAAAAATCATACCTCTCTCATCATCCGTATTTAATATGCTTTTTACATTTATTTGTTAAGTTAAAGCTGCACATCAAGAGATACCAGAGGGCACAGGAGGCAGAACTGCTGAGAGGCAGCTATGATAATCATACAAGCAAGAGAGGATAACAATGCAGTTGAATAGGAATTATTCAACTGGTTAATAAAAACCTCCTGCACAACTAATGAGGAAAGGGGATTCTAGCAGCCTCAAAAGCATGTAGCAAAGAGCAATCAGAGAAAGGCATTTCTATGTACACACACATTATATTATACACATGGCAAAATATGCATAAAATATGCATACATAGCAAAAATGCATAATAATTTCTATTTCTGTTTAGAACTATGAGGTTTAATATGTATGTTTGCCTTCAAACTCTGAATAGACCATAAAAAAAAAAAAGTTAAAAATGTAGGAACCAATCCTGCAAGGTTCAAGGTGGGTTTTTTTTTGTTTTTTTTTCAAATGGGTCCCCTGACATCTCTCCACTTCCCACTGATGAAAACAGATCTGGGCAAAAGGACTTCTCTACTCTGACTATAATGCCAACTACCACCACTCAACCCTTAGCTAGGATTTCAGGGTCACTGATTAACACTCACCCCTTGCTTCTATCAAAAAAGGAGCAAACCTGTACAAAATGAAATGTACATGGGATGGAGGAAAGGGACATGCGGCTTAAAAAATAATGAAAAAAAAAAATCAGTGAAAATAAAAACTTTTTATACCAGAAACAGATTGAAAACAGAGAAATTAACATTTAGAGATGAAAAAGCCC